CTGTATCCATACAAGGATCACGTAGCACACAGTGAGCCGGTGTCTGACTTCACACCAAGAAGAGAGGCCTTGGCATAAAATCGACCTTGTTGGCATTTTGATCTTGGATTTGCCAGCCTCCAGGGCTGTGAGAGAAAAACCTCTGTTGTTTAAGCCACGCAGTCTATGATGCTTTGTTATGGCAGCCTGAGCGAAGACACATACCTCATTGTTTTGCTTTTTGAGTACTTCCTCTCTTTCTGGCAATGCAAGATGCTCCAGGCTCATCTTGTGTATTTCCTGCCTCAGTCCTAGAATCAGCCATTTTTCCAAGGAGCCCCATTGCTGTTACTGGAGAATGTTATTAGACACCAGGAACCAGGTCTTAGGTAGCAAATTCTCTTCGGATAGACAGATTATTTTGTGCCCACCATGTTTCATGCTAGCTCTATGCTAGCTTCTTTTCACGGCAGTTTACTTGACCCTCATAACAACTCTATGAGGAATTTACTGTTAACCCCCTCTGCAGAAGGGGAACAGAGGTTTAGCTAGGTAAATGCTAGCCAGCATCACCTCGTTCTGTTTCCTGAACCCATCATACCACTATGATGGAGACTGGTGACACATATCCCACAAATCCCAAACGACCCTCTGTTTATCTGCAGTTTTGTGCTTCATAAACTCTAGAGTAATTTGCACTACAATCAACATGTAACAGGTAATCAGTGCTTTTTCAGAGGGGTGAAGATATAAGCCGCTCCTGGATCCACAAGTAGGTACAAGTTACCTCTCCTGATACGATGTACAGATGTCACACCCCTCTTACGAACACAGTTCTCATGTACAGTCTGAGACAGTCTGTACCTATTTTCATGTGCTTACATAGTACACACCACAGCACACACCAATCCTTGTGTGCACAGATAATATGGACTATGCTAAAATGCATGGATGACACGTCTTTTCAAAAAATTTATTTATTTTTTCATTGAAGGATAATTGCTTTACAGAATTTTGCTGATTTCTGCCAAACAGCAACATGAATCAGGCATAAGTATGCATATGTCCCCTCCCTCCCATCTCCCTCTCCACCACCACCCCTCTAGGTTGTTACAGAGCCCATGTTTGATTTCCCTGAGTCCTACAGCAAATTCCCATTGGCTGTCTATTTTACATATGGCAATGTAAATTTCCATGTTAGTCTCTCCACACATCTTACTCTCTCCCTCCCCTCCCCTGCCTGCTCCGTGTCCATAAGTCTGTTTTCTATGTCTGTTTATCCATTGCTGCCCTGGAAATAGATTCATCAGTTCCATCTTTCTAGATTCCACATATATGCATTAGCATATGATATTTTTCTTTCTCTTTCTGACTTACTTCATTCTGTATAATAGGTTCTAGGTATGGATGACATCTTAACTGACAGAATAATGAAATCTGACATGTGGGAAAGTACTTTATAACAGACATTGATACTACTCTAGTTCAAACTATGTCAGATTTTTCTCTTTCACACATAGGACCAACTTATGAAATTTGGGGATGTCCTAAGACAACTATTGAGCATCTTAGCTGTTATTCCAAATAGTGCTTCCAAAGGTAAAACTGGGGGTTTAAATCTTGTCCTCAAGGATGGGGATCATATGATACAGGAAAGAACAAATCAGACAACCAGAGTGATTAGTAATTTGAAGTGGACATTGGTGTATTTGTCTGCTCAGTGTCCCATTTCCCTCTGGGAGCTGCCTCTGCCTTGCTATCCATAGCTGCCACGTTAGTACAAGGTGACCTGCTCCAGGCCATTTGATTATTCCAGGGAAGAGCACTTGACCCAGCTGGATCAGCCCCCAAGTCCTTGTCTAGGACTTTTATAACAGGAACTGGTAATGTGAGTGGGCCTTTCTTTAGTGACCAAAGCCGTGAACAGTGAGGCTGTCAGTGGCTGTGTGAAGAAGGAATAACGTGTGCAATGCCCTAAAATCTTTGACCAAATCCTTCTTTGTGCTAAGCATACTCAGGGTTGGTTTTCAGTTATTTCCTATCAAAAGAACCCCAACCAATGCGGAATAATTGCCAACTGCTGTCATGTAATTGCTAATATAGCACAAAAACCATCTATTGAGACTCAAACCTGTGACAGACAATATCTCAATCCCCAGAATATTATAGCTGTGGTCCAGATCTGTCAAAGGTGGTTAATTTGGTATATTAATTCTTCAGAAACTTTACAGATACACATTTATCATACTTAAATATTATTCTAAGTACTTAAGATACATTTATGATAAATACTTGTTTCCATGGCAAACTTCTATTGATTTGGCTTTCAAATACTAAGAAATTTCAAATTACTAAACTTTTTTTCCACTCTGTGGAAAGAAATGAAATGATAAAATGTGGTAACTAAGGAAATTATCCTTTAAAAAATGCCTTTTGAGATATCCTATCGAGTCAACATCACCTTCAATATTGTGAATATTTCAGTGCCTGAATCATCAAAGTAATATTAAGCACAGGGTGACCTTGTTTTGAAGTGTATTGTAGTTTACTATAATTCTGTGGATATAATTGGTTTATAATTCAGTTATGAGCATCATGGTAATGATAGCTGATACTTCTGAACTCCTACCATGTATCAGGGGTTTCCCTGGTGACTCAGTGGTAAAGAATCCACCTGCCAATGTAGGAGATGCAGGTTCAATCTCTGGGTTGGGAAGATCCCCTGGAGAAGGAAATGGCACCCCCTCCAGTACTCTTGCCTGGGAAATCCCACGGACAGAGGAACTTGGTGGGCTAAAGTCTATGTGGCTGCAAAAGAGTCGGCTATGACTTAGCAACTAAACAACACTAACAACAATGTTATATCAGCCAGGCTGTTCTAGGGCCCTTTTATCAACTCTAATCCTCACAGCAATTCTATTGGGTAGACATCGTTGGTCTCCCCATTTGCAGATGAGAGGTTAAGTAATTGGCCTGAGGTCACACAACCAGTAAGAGGTGCAGCTGTGAACAGAACAGCCTGACACTAGAGTCCACACCTGTTAGGTAACTAAGTAGTTAATCACAGTAGCTCTCAGGTAATTAGCCTATTCAATTATAGGAGGTCTTACTTCGCAAGTCCTTTGGAGGGGATTTTAAGGTACTACTTGTTTATAAATTCTCTGGATTTGTAGACTGTGTATTGAGTATCAGTGAGGCAGAGATCTATGCAGGAAATTTTTCTTTGGTTGTAGTGGCTTGGGTCCCTGTGACATGCAAGAAACAGTATGGTAGATCTCCTCAAACTAAAGATAGCTCCACCAGGCTCTCCTCATTTCCTTACGATGAGAGCAAGTCTTTCAGAAGATTCCCATCTCTCTTAGGGTAAGAATCAGAACCCTTCCCAGGCCACAGGGTCCTGTCCATCTCATCAGTCTCCTCTGGGGCACTGTGCTTCAGTCACTCTGGCTTTAAATTTCTCCCATCTCAAGACCTTTGGGACTTCCTCAGTGGCTCAGAGGGTAAAGAGTCTGCCTGCAATACGAGAGACCAGGGTTTGATCCTTGGGTCAGGAAGATCCCCTGGAGAAGGACATGGCAACCCTCTCCAGTATTCTAGGCTGAAGAATCACATGGACAAAGGAGTCTGGCGGGCTACAGTCCACGGGGTCTCAAAGAGTCAGACACGACTGAGCGAATTCACAAAACGTTTAGATAAGCGAGATCCTCTGACTTGAAGACACATTCCCTTTATCTGTACCACTTAGGCAAATCCTACTCATCATACAGGGTTTCCCTAACCCATAGACCAGGTTTGATTCCCTTCTTATAATCTCTGCAGCATCCTGTACTTCCTTCTTAAAATAACAGTGAAAAGTGATTAGAAAATTGTGTGATTACTGAATGTTTCTAAGTGTAAGCTCTGTGTGGACAGGGACTGTTTATTGCTGATTCCCGACAGCTTAGCACATAGTTGGCACCAAATAAATACGTGTAAACTGAGTAGAAGAAAGAATTACCAGCTACCAACTGAAGAGGAAATAAATAGTCTCCTTGACATTGACTAGACCTGCCGAATGTGGAAGAAGGCCTGCCCAGGCGGACACGGAGAATGCTGGAGCAGCTTGGCAGAGAGGTTAGCAAACCTGAGGATACATGAACCTACCCATGCTTTATTTTTTATACAGTTTTCTAAGTGATTAGGAAAGAGTGGGTGTGAAGTTATGGTTTTGTGAGCAACAAAATCGAATCCACTTTTAACAGTGCTAAAATCTTGATCAAAGAAATTTCAACTCACAACACTAAGGGCCAAAGTGAAAGAACATAGTGTTTTTGATAATTCTGTCATTCTACCAAGTGTGCTTCTGTGGTTATCAGTGCTCATTTGCAGTTGCCTCTCTTTTGATTTTTATAATCTTTATTTTTTTGCAAATATTTTATCATCTCTTCACTGATTCCTCGAAACAGTCTTATGTGGAGAGCTGGTGCCATGGCCTGGGTGATGAAGAAACGTTTCCTCTTTCAAAGACTCCAGTTTTTGGACGATAAGAAGTGCTAAAGAGGAAGCAATCAAACCTATCTGCCTCCACCCTGCGCGCTGCTTCCGGGTAGTGATACGCTTTCAGATTCTCCTGTGAATTGTCTTAGATAAATAAGGATGGACTGCCATCCATTTTTTTTGAGATGACGTCTCTGTTCACCTGGAGGACAGTACAACACAAGGGAATGGATCGTGGAAATGCATTCCCCCATAACCACAGTCTGCACCAATGTGACATCTACACTAATCCTACGTTGGGAAATTTTGTTCCCTTAGTCTTTCAACAAGTTTGCAGTTGCCTTCACTGCCCTGAGGTCCAGGTCTTCTCTCCAGGCTCCCTCCGAGTGGTGCGGGCCGTCAGCGGTGAGGCGTCCGTCGGGCACCCACCGTCCCAGGAGGCGAGCCTGGTGGGCCGTTCCGGGAAACTGTTCCCGGGAGCGACGCCGAGGCGGGGCTCCCCGAGGACGTGGTGAAACCAAAACAGAAATCGGTGATTCAAAACATCACCTCAGGAAATTGTGCTTTCCAGAGACAGGTGCTCCCTTTTCGAGGCTACGGTTCTCCAACTTCCACCGAACCTTCCCCGCTGCCGGCAGCCCACCCCTCCGAGAGCCGCCCCGCGAGCTCGCCCGGGTAACCCCGGGCAGCCTCTCCCGCCCGCCCCGAGGAGCCGTGGGATACGCCTTCGCCACGTGCCCGCCTCCCGCGCCTAGACCTCCCGCAATTGGCTGGTGGCCCTGCCCGTCGCGGGGGGGAAGGCGTGCCCCCCGCAAGGCGGCGCTCCCATTGGTCATGACGGCAGCGGCCGCGCGCGCGGACCCGGCGAGGAGGGGAAGCCGGTGGTGGTGGCGGCTGCGGCGGCGGAACGGGCGGAGGCAGCCGGTTTCGTAACCGTCGCTCCTGGCTGACTCGCGGGCTGCGAGGCCTGGGTCGGGTCGGGCCGCGCCGTGCGGGGCGCTTGGAGTGGAGGCCTCCTGGGAGCAGGCGGGCTGGAGGCGCCAGGTAAGGAGGCCGCGGGCGGGCTGAAGGAGGAGGAGGAGGCCGCGGCGCCGCCGGCCGCTCGCGTGGGCGCGGCCCCAGCGCGAGGAGACCCGGCCCGGCCCTGGGCGGCCGGCTTGCTGGGAAGGCCCCGCGCGGCCCGCGGCGCGGGCGGAGGCCCCGCGCGGCGTCTGATGCAACCTGCCGGCAACACTCGGCGGGGCCGCTGAGCTCATCCCTGGCCCCGGCCCAGTGCCGCGGCGCCACCCGCCGACCCCCGCGCTCCCCCGGCGCCCCTGCTGCCGGCCCCGGACGGGATGCGAGCCCAGCTGTGCCCCCCTCCAGAACCCGGCCCTCTGTTTCTGCAACGCGCAGTGTGACTAGCCAGTAGCAGGCTCGTATTGGCCCCTGGGGATAAAGGGTGTTCCCAGAATAGCAGAAGGTGGATCGCGTCCTGTTGAGTGCCACCTGGGATTATTTCCCAGGTGCTAACTGCTCGGTGTCGGGCAATCGGGAATCCTGTTCAGAAGTTAGTAGAAAAGTAGGCAGGGAAAGCAATTGAGTTTAAAATATATGACTTTACACAAATAATATTGTGACTCCTTATGGAGCTGTACTTGAGTATATATCCTGCGTTGACTGTTGTGCACAGGTTGGATGAACGTGCAGCCACCACGAGTTGAATAGGAAAGAGGAGGGCAAGAAATGAAGCGCTTCATTAGCGTGTTTGGAGGGAGCACAGTAAGGAAAACTGCCAGCGGAGGTGTCTAGGTGGAGAGGATGGAAATACATGTTTGAGGGGAAGGATAATCTGTTCTTCGAAGTAAGCTTCTGGGTTTTTATTCTTCAGAAGGTTTAATTGCTTGGCTTTCCTCTGATCTGAGGTCTGTGCTGTCATCTAGCATCTTACATAAAATGTGTCCATTTCAGAAGGGTGTTTAACATTGGTGGGTTACCCAAAAGTTGGTAGTTCTCTCTCCCAGGATACACTGTCAGTTGAATTCTTGTTTGAAGAGATTACCCTTTAATTCAGGTAGGATATGGGATGCTCAGAGACACATTTGAAATAAAATACTATGGAGGCTTGGCTTTACTAAGAAATTTAGCCTTTAAAAGCCCTTGATAACTAAAAGTTAAAATTTGGTCAGCTGTTGCTACTTGAGTAGTATTTGGGATAAGCTGTTCTTAAAGTTGGTTCACTGTTTTGGAAAAACTCAGTGTAAACAAGGCTAAATAATTACAGGATGCTAGTGAGCTGAAGAACTTTTCAGTTTCTTGAGTCCTACTTCTGGTGGGCACACTTGGCAGATTCAGCCATTTTAATACCTGCCTGAAAAACATAGGTGGAACCGAAACTTCGTTTTTGTTTTTTTTTGTTTTTTTACCCCCAGAATATCCTCTTAAGTTCTCAAGATCATGTCATAACTCTCAGCAAAGTTGTCTGATCTTGGACAGGTAGTTTCATCCCTAGGGATTTAAACAGCACCTGGTGAGTCCTAGGTAAAGATGAATAGGGCAGAATTCATGTGGCTGAATTTGGTGTTATGGCCATAGATTGCCCCACCTGATCAGAGAAATGGTAAACACAGGTAGTCACAATTCCATGTTTATTGTGTGTTCTTAGGCCGGGGGTAGCGGATGCTTCTGTGGGTTCTTAGGCTGATAGGTACATTGATCTCCTACCTTTTTGGTTTTCCAGACCAATCAGTAAAAAGAAAAAAGAGCATGACTCTAAAAGATGTATATTTATAAACAGTGTGGTGTGTTATTAATAGTTCATGTGTGTTGTAAATGACACCAAAACTAGAGTAAAAAGATGACATTAAAAAAAGACAAGAGATATTTTCTTCTCATACTCCAGTGGACCACTTATCTACTCCCCGAAGTAGTATACTCATTTGTGGACCCCTGTTTTGGGTCATGAAGCCAGCATGGCAGATACATAGAAATCCTGCTCATTTGGGTGTGTGTTAAGTTTGACAGCTTACCTTCACTTCATTTGTAGTACTGAGTTGCCAGACCCTGGCAACATATGCCTAAGAACTTGAGGTTGTGGAAAAACGTAACTGGACGAAGTGGAAAATAAAGGTTCTCAACAGAATGAAGCAAAGACTAGACATGAATGACCTTCACTGTATAGGCTGGGGACTAGAGTAGCAAATGTTTTTATTTTCCTGTATACCTTTAAGATAGACCAGGACCTTTGGATCGTAAGACTGTGTGTACCTTAGTAACACTCAATTTAATTATGGTTGTTTTAAGAGATTTTAATGCTAGAGAATCTTATTTTTATATAAGACACTTAAATGTTTTTTCTTAGCCTTTTGAGACTGTATTTAACAAATGTTTCTTGAGCACCACGACTGGATGCTGGGCGAATGATGATAAAGGCGGAGGCCTGCCTCTAGCTTATTCTACAGGGAGCCACAAACTGTGGAGCTGGCATTGACAGAGAAACTAGGGGAACAAATTGGACAGAAGCACAAAGAACAAAGGGCAGACCATTTAGGGGCGTGATGTTGGCTTCCAGTATTGTTGGGGGGTGATGAGAAAGGGAGCTGGGCCTGAAGAGATTTGATCTGTATGTTGAAGCCACAGAAGAATCTTCAGTGAGAGGCTGCGACACACTCAGGTTTGAGTGTTAGATTGCTCTGCAGATGGTGGTTGGAGGGAACGCTGCTGGAGCAGGGCAGGCTGTGCCCTTGAGAGATGATGTCAGCCCAAGGTAACTGTGGCATGGAATGGAGCGGGATGGTGGAGTGAGGTGTTTTGGGGGAGACGGCTGGGTAGAATACCAGTAATACCAATGGTTTGAACAGATTTGGAACAAGGGACAAATACCTGAATATTTTGGAGCGTAGATCTTCATTGGGGAAATTGGAGTTAAACATTTATTTGGGAAGAAGGAGAGGAGGGATATCTCATTGTATATATAGGAAAAAAAAATGACAAGAGGGCCAGGAAAAGGCTTGAGACATTTATTGTCCCAAGTGAAACTTGAGAAAATTTTGATTTTGCTTTACTCATTCTAACATTTTGAGTTTTCCTGATATGAGTGTGTCCCGGATTTGAATGAACGTCACTTGATTTGAGAAATTTGAATTTTAAAAATGGTACCCAGTCAGCCCATCTTTCTGAAGATCTGCAGTTGGTTTGTGGCAGCGGCTGTCAAACTTCAGTCACTTGGGGGTCCTGTCGAGACGTAGATTGCTTAGCCCTGTTCCGAGAGCTGCTGATGCCTCCGTCTGGGGCAGCCTGAGAACTTGCATGTCTACCAAGGGGATGCTGATGCCACTGGTTCAGGGACTATGCTTCTGAGAACTGCTGCTTTTCAGTTTTTCTCCTACTTCCTGCTGGAATGATTCACAGCAAGGAAACAAGGTGCCGCCCTGCTTCCTGTAGTCTGAACTTTGGAATAGCATTTGTCCACGTAGGAGCCAGACTTTCATTTAGGGTTGAACATCCAGATTTGAAATAAGCTTATTTTCCATTGTAGGTGCTTAGTAAATGTTTGTGAAAGAAACAAAAGCACAGACAACAGTGTAAACTGCAGAACTGTAAACTGTATGTAGCATTTAGAGGTAGCTGTTTTACTCAGTGTAAAAAATAAAATTGACAATCTGTTTGGAGTAAGTCTTAGCCCCACTTAGCTCTTTGACCCCCTTTCCATGGTGGATAACTTCACCTTGAGCATTACTTCTTGGCTTGTCTTTGGTTGGGGAACTTAATAAAAACAACTCCTTTTTTTTTTTAATCTCCCAGTTTCCCTTTCTTACATTTTTTACCAGTTTGATGATTACTGTTTGTTTTACAAGCCAAGGACTCATTTTCAAAACCTTGCCTGCTGTGTTCAGCCTAGTACCTTGGCGAGATGAGTCAGACTGAGGTGAAAGTGCCCTTTCTTGTTCTGGTGTCTTTGAGAACAAAAACAGGCATGAACCTCACTAAGTTTGGAGCCGGTAATAAGTGTTTTTGGTGACTGATGTTCATGGTATATTGTGAGCGTCAGAGGGCATTTTACATCCCTCCTTTGCAGAGAGGGAGATGGAGGCCCAGAGAGGGAACGGACGTGTCCAGAGTGGAACGGTGGATGTCCGAGCCAGGATGAGAATCGACTTGGTTCCTGATCTCTACTTCTTTGGATTATTGTTATCTCTGAGTTTATTAGGGATTAGCTTTAAAGACTAAAAACCCAACTGGTATATAGAAGATAAAAAATAGATGATCATAATCATTGATTGTTGAGACAATCCCAGGACAGGTGTTAAACAAGTTCTTAAAAGTTGAATAAACACTTCACTTTAGACCAGTAGATAAGCAATAGTATAGATGGCCAGTAACACTATTAATGCTAAGTGTGGTGCAAATTATACTCAACTGCCACTTTTCAACTGGAAGAAAAAATAGGCAGCATGATAAATTATCAAGGGAAATTGTGAAATATTCATTACTGAAGATAAACTTGGAGTAGATATCCATCATGGTTTGGAAGGAAGCTTTTGGTGTTTCCTTAGTACTGAAGTGAGAACAGATGACCCTCTAACTCAGGACTGCCTGTGTGGCCTGAAAAACACTGGAAAGCAATGATATATGGCCTTTTAAAAAACAGGCCAATACAGAAATGACTCGCTAAAGGTTTGGGTGAGGCTTTTCTTAAGAATTGTGAGCTGTACTCATTCGAAGCTGTTCATAATTGTGGCTTCAGGTTTTTTCCACTGATGCAGTTTTGTGAAAAAATGGGGTAGTTCTATGGTTCCTAGCACTGCTTTCTCAGTTTCCAGCAGTGCTGTGACTTCTTGGTGGGCATAATTCACTCAGCTTAGACAGTTTGTCTTGAAGTGGCCTCGTGATGATAGGCTAGGTCTGCTTTTGACACATCTTGAGGCAGTTTTAGGACCAGCTTGGATTCAGAGTAATCCAAATATGACTGGTTTCTGAAACTGTGACTTTGTTTCTCCCGGCAGCACTGCAGATTTGGCATGCCGTCTGTTGTTTGAGTAGCGTCAGGCGGGTGCAGGCCGCCGCTGCCCTGGCTCTTGGTTCAGCCTGACTCCCAGCTCGCACCTCCTTGGATGCATCATCAGGGCCTTTGTTTCTCTCCTTGTGGTATCAGGGTGACAGTGTTTAGATGTGTTTAGTAGTTATGTCAAGAATTAGGAAAACACTAGAAGCTTGCTGTGAGATGGGGAAGCAAACTGGGTGTCTCAGAGCTCCGCAATGAGCCAAGAAACTAACTTAGGAAATCTCTGTAAACTACCATCATTTGAGGTCATTAGGAAAATAAAAACAAGCCAAAAAACACATTTTCAAAATATCCCATACAGATACGCTTTGGGAGAACAGTTAAGTCCTTGATGGCTCAATCTGCACATTAGAGTAAGGACCATGCAGAGATGCTAGTGCAGTGTTCCTGAGGAGACTGGACTGGGTGCTCTGCGCTGGCCTTCTAATTTGATTTGAACCAACAGTTGAACATTGTCCCTCTTTTATTGCACTGTCTCTCCTGTTGTAATTGAGCTCATATTTTCTGTGTTTAAACCAAACGCCTCACATTCCTCTCTTGTAGATTGCCAAGTGCTGTCATTCATATGTGCTACCTAATTAGTGATACTGTTTTGTTTCTTCCTCACATTTTTGAAACACTCACAGATGGGCAGTCCCCTCAGGGATTCAGGTGGGTTAGATTTGGCTGTATGGTGCGTATGTATTAACTTACTTCTCTGAACTACATGACTTAGACTTCTGAAACATGGGAACAGTTGGCAGTTGTTATAGACACTTCTCAGCATGGTCAGTTAATATTGGCCTGCTGTGAAGTACATGCGAATTAGATCTCATTTGATCTTGTCATCTCCAATATTTTAATGCAGTTTTTCTTGAATAGGTACATGTGAAGACTTCTTGGCAGCTCAGTGTGGAAACCATTGATCACCTGTCTTCCTTCTGCTTGCTCTGTGTTGACAAGGGAGTGTGCCCAAATGAGCAAGGTATCGCAGCAGAACGGCGCCGCGGGCGTGAATGGAATAAGCGTCATCCACACTCAGGCTCACGCCAGCGGCTTACAGCAGGTTCCCCAACTGGCGCCCGCCGGCCCTGGGGGCGGAGGCAAAGCCGTGCCTCCCAGCAAGCAGAGCAAAAAGAGCTCGCCCATGGATCGCAGCAGCGACGAGTACCGTCAGCGCCGGGAGAGGAACAACATGGCTGTGAAAAAGAGCCGGTTGAAAAGCAAGCAGAAAGCGCAGGATACACTGCAGAGAGTCAATCAGCTCAAGGAAGAGAATGAACGGTTGGAAGCAAAAATTAAATTGCTGACTAAGGAATTAAGTGTACTGAAAGACTTGTTCCTTGAGCACGCACACAACCTCGCAGATAACGTGCAGCCCAGTAGCACTGAAAATTCAACCAGTCCTGCTAAGGCCGGGCAGTAGAGTCCACCCCTTCCAGACGTCACACCTCGTGGCTTGAACATGCGAGGTGTGACTGCCTACGCCTCTCGCATCAGAGTGAACCGCCCTTATTCAGAGACCCACTGAAGGTTGCTTTCTGGGGTCAGCCCTGAAGAGCTGATTAGTTAAAAACGTTAGCCGTGTGACTTGAATATCTAGTTTTAAATGATAAGCGTTTTTGTGGGGATAAAAAACACTTTTAAAGGTATATGGTTAAAAAAAAAAAACCTGCCCTGGAACCTTGATGTTCTTAATAAATGCTGACTTCCCCCAAAAATGTTTCTTTTTTAGGCTGACAGAAGGAATGGGGAACTGGCAAGTCGTGCGGAAGAGTCTTGGTTTTAATGGATATGGTTAATTGGATGAAAGAAAGCTGAATGCCATCTCTGTTCATCTATTTGTGACTCGTTTCTAAATTATGTATTAAAAATGCTTAGGGCTATAGAAACCAATCACTTTATAATTTGGAGTGATTTTATACATAGCATAAACCCTGTTTCAGCATAATTAGTACTATTTTACCCAACAAGTACTAGTTTTTTGAGTAGTGATGACAAGTTACGTAAAGAAATCCCATTGCATTTTAAAGGCAATATGCGGCCAATTGGCTTAAAAATAGAAATAGCATTTAGGAAGCCAATAGGTTTTTTAAAAGTAAAAGCAAAGCATATTAGAATTACACTCTTGGGATACCTTTGGGTTATTGAATTGGCATTGTTTTGTTAAAATTAAAAAAACAATGGTTTAGAGAAACTTTGTATCAGTTCTAGTTTCTGCAGATGCTAGTAAGCTTTTTTTTCTTTCACACCATTTGCACAGCCTGGTTAGTAAATCAAAGCATCTTAACAGTTTATGTCCACCCAAATTGCTGATTAGGATTTTCAATATTAATTTCAGCAGGTAGTTTCTCCTATGTTCAGATACACTGCAGTGGGGCCGAGGATTTTGAAAGCAAAAATTTCTTGTGAAGGATCACTTGTATTTGACCTTAACCAACTGGTTATTAGAAAAATACACTGTCAACTCCATACCATTTCCCAAAATAATAGCCTAAGAAAACTTGAAAGTATAAGGTTTAACAGTTAATTTATTTTACTTAAACACATTTATATTCTTTTTATGACATTTCTTAGTGGGCTATATTCTTCCAGACTTTTGTACCACTTTTTATTCATTTGTATGCATTTATGTCCCATAAATTATTTTAGCAAGAAAATACTGATAAAACTCAGGATATTGATATTTTTGTTGAGACTAAAAAGTGGTAGTCACTAGAATGGGAATCTCTAGGATCTGGATTATATCAGTGTTGGTAGTTTTGATTGCCCTTGTTTCTTTCTTTAATGCAGTTCTAGCTCAAATTTGTCGGAAGTCTATTTTTTTCTTCTTTCAGTTTTTGTTTTTGGATGACCCAGGCTGGTGACAAGAGACTGAGTCACATCTGATTTTAAAAGTTACCAGCTATCTTATTTGAACATGGTCATTTTAGGCCACACTGTTGTTTCATACCAGAACCTGGGACATTATAACCAGGAGGTAATTCAAGTTGCACCCTCAGGCTGATGGAGGAGTGGTGTCTGTGCCCTTCTGGTCAGCAGAAGACTATCACAGTGCCCTGCAGCTCAGCAAAGCCATCAACAAAGGCCGGGAGTCCCTTCTGCATGTGACATGAGCCCAGTATTGTCCCATGAGAGCCACTGTCCCAGGATGGTTAATTCCCGAGAGAGCCAGGAGACAGGATAGGGGTTGCTGTTAGGGTCCAACATTGGTCACCTTGGTTGGAGTACTGATCAAGCTTGATAGAGGTTTTAAATAACTAGGAGATGCCCCAGAATCCTGCTGGATGTTCAGTAGCACCTCACTCGGGGTGCAGTTAGGTCTCCTGAATCTTGAAGCATCCGTAAGAGGTGCTATTTACTAAACAGTATCTTTCAGAATTGGATGTCCACATGGAATTCATTGTTACCCATTATATGAAGTGACCTAACTATCGGAAAAGAAGCTTTAGGGAAATCATCAGGAATGTACTCAGTTATTTCAAATAAGAAAATAAGATTGGAACTTTTGGAACAAGTGATTCAAACTTTTCTTTTACCTATGCAAATAAGAACTAGTACAAGCAGTCGTGCAGTTTTATGCATAACGTAAAAAGGTGTTAATCATGGTCTTAACTGTCTTACTGAAGTGTTTGGGAATGAAAGTTTTTCATTTGATAGGTTTATCAGTATAAAATGGAGGGAAACCAAGTGTGGGGAATGGGTAAGTGTAGAGCTTTGGGAATTGTAAATGACTTGTAACTTTTGTTTTGTAGGTTTTGTGTGACCCATTAGGATATGACCTGCCTTTGCTGGCAGGTCTAGTGGTTTAGGAATTAGGCTTCAGTATAAATTTCTAGCTGCATCTGAGTCATCCGGGGTGGGTGCTTTCTGACTGGTCTGCAGGTGGTGCCAGTGAACAGTGCTTCCTGCTGTCTGACCCCTTTTAGTTACTGGGATGTGAGCTCATACTTTGGACATTCTTACCAAGAAGTAGTAAGATTTTAATAAAACATGACCAGAATTTTGAAATTCAGGTCATGAGTGTGAAATTCTCAAATTTACATAAAGAAGTAGAAGGATGTACACTGTAATGTTTGAGGTTAAAAAGGAAGGAAATCATAGCAGCTTTTGATGTTTCTTAATCCCCATTAGAAGGTTTGAAGCTTTGTACCTGAACAACCCAGTTAAAGCAATAGGAGTGTTTTTGATGCCTTAGAAATAGAAATTTTTTGTTTGACAAAAGCTAGGAAGGAATAAAGTCCATTCTATAGCTATTAGATCTGCCTCTCAGGAAAAAGTACTTGGTCTTTTTGTTCCTGATTTTCCTCAGTTTGTGAGATAACTCTATTTTTTTAAATATTTTATTTCTTTCAATGGATTTGAAATAAAAAACCTTTGGAATAATGACTGTATTTCATTGTGGGTTTCTTTGTTAGATGCCAAGAAAGTAATCCAAGTTTGTTCACCAGCTTGAGGAGCAGGCAGATAGATGCCTGCTGCCTTTATATGCTCAGCCCAAGGCAGGGGTGAGGTGGGTGTGGGAGCAAGCAGAGGCACTTTTGTCCCAAGTGCTCAGTTGTGTCCAACTCTTTGCAACTCCATAGACTGTAGCCCGCCAGGCACTGTCCATGGGGTTTTCCAGGCAAGAATACTAGAGTGGATTACCATTTCCTTCTGCAGGGGATCTTCCTGACCCAGGGATCAAACCCATGTCTCTTGGATCTCCTGCATTGGCAGGCGGAGTCTTTACTGTTGAGCAACCAAGTGTAGGCTTCCCTTAATGACAGGAACATAGTTGCCTCTGAATTTAGAGTGCCTCTTCTGTTACATTCTTTGTCACCTAGTCTAATGTAAAACTATATACCAGAATAGAGGAAGCAGAAACTCACATCCTGCTTGGACACCTAGTGTCTCAGAATGCGGCCTCCACCTTCAGGGTAGGAAATGAGTTCTTGGGCTTTGAGGTCAATGGGACATCAAAGTCAGGCCTTTCCCCTCACAGTCCAGTATGTGCACTGTCTTCGTTTGAGTGTCTAAAAAGGGATTCATAAATACAAGCCTGAGAAAAGCTGATCTGAGTGTTTGAAGGGAAGACACCATCTAGATCCTTGTCTTCTATGATCCTTCAGTTATTTTCATGTCTTGGGAAATAGATTTCTACTTACTGCATCTTAATGAAAACTGTAGTACAGTAATGATTTCTGTGGGTAGTATGTCCCATTTCATTTTTATGAATTAGTTGTAAGTTAGCATCCAATAACTTGTCAGGCAATTCTATATCAAAATGGTTGTGAGGGTGCCAGCCCTATTTCAATAAAAGCACTTTAGACCTACTGCTCTGTGGCTGCCTGGGGCTCATGTGCCTTTTACATGTTCTTAGGGGAGAACAGCAACCCTGAATACCCTTTTATTGCAAAGTCCCCACTCCTCCCAGCACTCCAGACCTGAAGGTTGTGCAGGGGTGTCCAGAGAACAGGGCTTGGAAGAGAATGGAGTTGTTAGGCTGTCACACATCACACTTGTTTGCAGCCCATTTACCCAAGTCTTGTGTCCTGGGAAGCAGCTATTGGACCAGATGCCTTTGTACATCGCCACCTTTCAGTTCTGCCAGCTGAGTCTCTGGACTTCCCCGGCCTCACCTCCCCTGCCCCACCTTCTGCAAGAGACATCACCCTCTCTGGCCTGGCTTTGGTCTCCCTGGAATCGTGCACGCTTTCCAGATCTTGGTGGTTCCCCAGTACACTCTGGGTGAGACCCAGCCTCCCTGGGATGTGGCTCTGTTTGCTCTTGCTGCCTTCACCCCCCACCCTAAACCCCCGCAACTCTCGCGCATCATTGCATCACTTTGCTTTGACAGCAGGGCTTTTCTCAGCACTCTACCCAAGGGCTGGCTGCCTTAGCACAGCTCTGGAATGGCTTCATCCCTATAGTTTTCACTTTCCACCCTTCCTGTCTCAGGCCCCTGGCTTTCTAGGCAAAGTCAATCTTGTTTTACTTTCCTTCTTGGCACTTTTCAGTGTTTGAGACAATCTATTTGTGCATGTTTAAGGAGAAGTCAGACTCCAGGCCCTGAGCTGGGGTCTTGTTTTTATGCCAACATTGGCATATAGGAGATGCTCATTTCTTAAATGAATACCTAGACTTTTCCTGGATTTTGGACAGGCTTTTTGGCACTGTGTGGCTTTCTGGAATGGTCTCTAGTGAATTTCTGAAGCTGTACAAATTTCTGCAAAACTTGGAGACTTAGAACTTGAATGCAGCCTCTGAAACATGGGGCGAAGTAGGTGACTACTGTGTCCATGAGTCCTACCTTCAAAGAATGCCCTTTGATTCACCCACCTGGGTCCAAGCAGCCATTTCTGTCCCCATTGTCCCTCTGGGACAAAGAGCACTTAGTTACTGAGATTTCTCCTTGAACTTTTTTATCAACTTGCTTGATAATCAGAGCAAACGTTATGTGAAATGGTTTTGGTATAAAACATCTAAAGGGGAGGAAGGAGAAAGATGTATTTTTCAGTTAACACAACTGAAGTGTCCACTTAAGAGTTCCAACCTAATTTTAACTGGTTTTATCCTGGGGGTGGGGGGAACTTGATACCCTGTGCATAGAACGTGGCTTGCAGGTACAGCTGGTGGTGAGAATGATTTGGGCGAACTCAAACTGACCTTCAGAAAGACAGCCATTACTCAAACTGCCCAATATCATGAATAATCATTATTAGGGAACATATCTGCTTGTCATCAGGAAACCTTAAAAACTGGATGTTATGTAAATCTTACAATTTATAAAAAATAGTGATTTGAATCAAATACTGCATTATTTTAATGTGGCCACATCACAAGCACTTTTGTATTAGTGGCACAGAAGAAATCAGTTTGTGCTCCTCTCCTCAGTGACTTAAACAGTCTCTGGCTTGGGCTATGGTTTCCCCATCCTGTCAAGGCTTCATCAGTGACATCTGCCCTTCTAACCTGCCCTCCACCTGGGCTCAAAAACTCCCAGACATGCAGAGACAACCCTGGGATGGTGTGCAGGATTCTAGAAGCTGGCTGCGGAGTGGGGGTGGGTCTGGGAGGCCGTGGGAAGGCTGGGCAAGCAGAAGAAGGCCGGGTGTCCGGCCACTGGGCCGGTGGCCCCAGTGCCTCAGAGTGGAGTTCGGCCAGCGGGCTCCCACTCATGGGAGACAAATGGACTCGGCAAACGTGGAAGGAATGAGAGAGCTCACCTTTGCCATGGTGCTGCCTGAGGCAGCAGTGTCTCTCAGACAGATGCTGGCTTTACTAGCATATCTTACATGAAATGGAGACCAAAGACAAGGAGTCTGCAAGTCGCAGGTTCTCAGGTAACTGTGCTTTAAATGCTACGCAGTTACGACCACTTCGGGAATCCAGCTTTGAGGCAGTGCATGCGTGCATGTTCAAGTCACGTCTGTCACCCCATGGGCTGTAGTCCACCAGGCTCCTCTGTCCAAGGGATTTTCCAGGCAAGAATACCAGCACGGGTTGCCATTCCCATCTCTGGAGGATCTTCCCAACCCCGGGATCGAACCCGCATCTCCTGTGTCCCCTGCATTGGCAGGTGGATGCTTTACCACTGAGTCACCCATTCAAAAAGGCTTCTTACGCTACAGTCCTCCTCTGCACCTGTGCAGAGGCAAGACAGCCCCACCTACACATTCAGGCCCCAGAGGGCTGTGCAGGGTCATTTTCCAGGTCTAAGCATGTGTTCATCTGCAAAGGGAAAAAGAATGTGTGGGGGGGCGCGATGGGCACAAAGGTCCATTTTAGGAAATCTTTTATTGCAAGTTCCATTCTGTGTATTGATTTTGAGAGAAAACACTAGAAATGCCCCTTTCCTGAGAATACAAATGACAGCGAAATACACATTTAGTTTCTAGTAAAGAGAACAGGATTATTGAAAATAATGTGATAATTGAAAATTAGTATTCTAAAAGCCGCTGTCACTCAAGCAAAGTAAAGACATTTAGATGAAGGGTGTGATCCCATAGAAGGGTAGTAAGAAAGTTTCTCCAGGGAAACAGCATATTGGGTGTGATCAAAGGCCGATGATATCGTGTGTGATTTCTGAGCACCACTGGGGCCGATCAGCAGGCCTCCCTCCAGGAAGCAACTTGCGAGGCCGGGGTCCAGCCCCCTGCCCCGGGGCACACCGTGGCTCTACTTGGGGCCAGAGAAGGGAGCAAAGGCCTTGTCCTGGCCCGCCATGCACGCTTCCACCTCCTCCACCGTGCGGGGCACGCAGGTCAGCAGCTCCATGCCAGTGTCAGTTACCACGACGTCCTCCTCGATCCGGACCTGGTCAGACGGATGGACGCTAGTTATTTCTGAGCTGCCTTTGCGCGCTTAGTTTGAGCATCAGGCCCGACAGCTCCAGGCTGAGCGGGAAGAGCCCTTTCTGTGGAGTGGGCAGCACAGCCCGGGTCGGGGTGCTGGCCTTAAGGCCGCTGTGGGCAGCTGCTGGGCGGAAGGCGCCTCCCACAGGACATCTGCTCCTCCGCCCGCCCACCCCGGCTTGCCCCCTGCCAGGTGGGTGGGAACCCCTGGAGTGGGCAGAGGTTTTGTAGGAAATCTGTGTCGCTTGTGTTGAGGGCTGGTGACAGACCATGAGGAAGGGTGGGCCAGGTGCCTCTCGTGAGGAGAGTCAAGACTGTGCCTCCTGTCCTGGAGGACAAAGAGGTGACAGGTTGGGGGGGCAGGGGAGGGGGCGTTCTGGGAGCAATCAGCACTCACCCCACCAAAACCACGGAAGCGCTGCAGGACCTCGCGGTTAAAGAAGCAGGCGCGGGCCGGGTCGGCCAGGGCCTCGTCCAGGAGGTGGTCGATGAAGTAGATGCCCGGCTCCACGGTGAGCACCATGCGTGGCTCCAGGTGCCGAGCGGTGCGCAGGCGCCGCAGGCCGGGTTCGTCAATCCGATCCACGCCCTGGGTGGGGGTAGGGGGGTGGTGGGGAGAGGACAGTGAAGGGGGGACCCAGGAGGGCAGAGCCCCAAGCCAAGGCCACCACCTTGGCGGGAGGCAGACAGAAATGGGTAAGTGCGCAGAGCACCCGCCCCTGTCTGTGCAGGCATCCACACGTGGGGCCTGGCTCGAGCCCCTTGGGTCCTCCTGGAGCCGCGGGAGGCTCTGTGACCTCGGGGGTCTCCAGCCCAGACTCGGACTTGCTGGGTCATCCACGGTACTTCAGATAAAGCCCTCTGCTCTCTGCACGCTCCCCTAGATTTCTCGTGTCCCTGCCCCTTGTCACCCCTAGAACTGTGCCCCATGGACACTCGTGTGCACACACCCAAGGCCACTGCCCCTGCTGACCCAGGGGGTTGGCTGGGGGTCCGGCTGCCTTACCCAGGCCCTCTCCCCTCCAGGGGAGCAGTTGAAGCCAAACCTGTGAAGCCAAAAAAGCTCTTAGGAGGCTGCAGGGCCTCCCAGGCTGCAGCTTTCTTCCAGGCAGCTGGTTTCCAGGCAGAGTGGAAACCAGCCCTGAAGTGCTGGGCCTGGCTCCCTACAAGCTGAGGCGCAGGTTTTCCGTGTGGCTTTCCAGGAAAAGGGACAGGTGCTGTCAGGACATCAGCCCTGGCTTATGTGTGCACAGATGCACACTCACCCCATGTGCGTGGCCTGGGGGTGTGGCCCACAAGGAGTGCATGGGGCAGCTCCATACCACGCCCATGCACTGAGCCTCCGCTGGGCTGTGGGGGGCTGGCTCTCAGCTCTCTCCCCCAGCACTCACATGGGCGTGGCCGATGGGGCAGGTGGCACCTAGGACACTTGCAGAAATTTCCCTGCCTTCCCCAAGTCCTGGAGGCACCCGTCCGGCCCTTGGCCAAGGCCTGGGAGCAAGCGCACAGCAGGCAAGCTTTCTGGTCGGCCTCTGAGCTTGCCCTGCCCCACTCATGGCTCTATGCTGGAAGCCCAGCTGCTGGAGATGGAACTGTCATTTCTGACTGTTTGGGGGCCAAGAACATCAGACTTCAATTAGTGGTTCATGTAAGGTAACCAGAAACGGGCTGGCTCAGCCTCCATCCGTGGCTGGGCACAGAAGGGAAGGCCGTGACCGTGGTTCCACGAGGGCGGGGACAGCAGGGCACTGTGTGCATGGCCGCCCTGACCAGGTGTGAGCCAGGCTAGGATGGAGGTGACGAGGGGGCACCAAGGCCCTGTGACCCCGGGGCACAGACGCCCGCCTGGTGTGGTATTTGACCCCACAGTACTATGTGCCCGGAGGGTCTGGGCAGGAGGGCAGGGGACACAGGACGGCACAGTCTGGGATGACGGTCCCTGTGCTCAGGTGAGAGGTGCTGGATGGTGGGTAGCAGGGGCCTATCTCCTGCCATCTGAAGCCTGCGTCTGCCCCCTGGGCAGCCCCTCCCCTCCCTTCCCTTCATGCTGTCCCCAAGAGCCAACCCTTTCTTTCCAAGGCTGTCAAAGTCAGGGACCTGGCGGACTCTGAGAGCTGACGAGGTCTTGCCTCCCTGATCTCCTTGGTGGCTGAGGGGCTGTGCCAAAGGCGGGGGGTTTCCTCAAACTTGTACAGACGGCCTTCTCTCCAGAAGATTCCAGGACCACTGCTCAGACTGGGGGTGAGGGGTGCCTCAGGGGGGGCACAGGAGGATGTGCCTGCCCCCTGCCCACTGACTAGGAGTCTGCGCTATAGGCCTCACCAAGGGACGGCCAGATCAGGGCTGGGAGAAGGATGGAGGCGGGGCTGAGTAGGGAGAAGACCCCATGAAGGGGAGAGGCCGAGCGCCCAGCCCCTCAGGCCTGGGGACTTCAGCCTTGTTGGGGGTGGGGGGACCCTGCCCACATCGGGTCCACGCCGGCTTCCGCTTGGGCTCAGGGCTTAACGGGGCCTCTGCTGCACTGGGCTCCGGGCAGAGGAGACCCAGATGTGTCTGAAATAAAACAAATGACTTTTAGAGGAAAAGCCATATTTTTTCCACAATGTTTATCTGTCAAAAGAATAGACTCCGTGAGCACAAAGGACCGCTTACTGGAAAAGATGAAAACAGTTTGCTGCCAATTTTCTCTGGTGGAAAAAAAAAGTGCTTTGGCGACTAATGAATAACGAACCTCAGTTAACAATGTCTGGAAGGCTCCGCTCTTGGCTCCCTGCGCACAGTGTGATGGATAGAAATTAGGAAATTAAAACTGATTTTGTTTCTCCAAATTTAACTGTTTACACTTGAGGAAAAAATAATTGAATAATAATGCTTCTCTTGAGCAATTCCCCCCCTCCCCCAAAATCGTTCTTAGAGCTTTCAAAATACCCTGCAGCTAAGGGGCCAAGCCATCTTGGCTAACTGGCTAGTGGGCCCCAGGGCGTGCACCGATTGCATAATCCACCCCCCTGTGCTTCGGGCACCTGGCCAGACGGCAGAGCCGGCTCACCCCCACCCAGGGCCTGTGGAGGCTGCAGCCACCTACCCGGCAGAGCCTCCTGAAGCCTCAAGCTTTGTCTGGGTGGTCCTTTCAAGGGTCGGTCAGTAGGAGGGGGAGGGGAAAGCCTGGCCTGGAGATGCCCACACAAGCCTCCCTGTCCCGCTGAGCATGCCTCCAGGAGATGAGGAGGCCATGGGGGCCCTGTTGGCCCAGGTATCTGGGTGGACCCAAGCTGAACCATCCAGCTGAACCAGGAGAGGGTGTGGAAGGACTTGCGAGGGGCACAGGGCTCAGCTCGTCCCAGGATGGACCGGTCACCAGCCTGAGGAGGCTCGTCATACCTGATGAACGAAGCCAGAGGCAGGAGGACATGATGGGCGCACTGCCAGCCCACCACTGAGACCCAGCTTTGGGGCTCCCACGGCCCTGTGGGGACCCCATGCACTGCACACTTTCAGGGCAGGTGTTGCCCCCAGCATGCAGCCCTGGGCCCTGTGCAGAGCACACCCATTGCCCGCCAGGTTCTGTGGAGGCGGCTGCCAGAGGAGACGCCCTCGTGTAAGGACCAGGGCCCTTGGGCATGGGGGGGGGACCGGGGCAGCGACCTGGGTTGGGATCAACCCCTGGGTGAAGGGGGTGAAAGGAGAGCAGGCCTTGCCAAGACCCCAGTCCTTCTCATCCTGCCTGATCCCCTACACTGCGGCCATGTCCCAGAGCCCCACTCTACCCCCAGGGAGGTCCAGGCTCAGCTTTGGCTCACAAGCAGGCCGCTCGGGCCAACACGCCCTCACTGACCTCAGGGTAGCCTCCCACGTCGTGCACATCGAGTCCTAGGAAGTGGCCGAGCCCATGAGGCATGAACACGGCTCCCAGGTGGACCTGGACCATGGCATCCACGCTGCCGGTCAGGAGGCCGATGCGGGTCAGCTCCTCCAGGTGGATGCGGTCGGCCAGGCGGTGCATGTCGGGCCACCAGACACCTGGGGCTCAGAAGGAGGCTGCGATGAGCTGAGGCCTCTGGCAGCCTGGCCAGGGCTTCCCAGGGCAAGGTTGCGGGGAACAAAGGAAGCCCTTGCATTGGCTGAAGCCGGGGAGCCTGAGGGGCAAGAGCGATGCGGCCCAGGCGGTCTCCCTGCAGGACTCTCTCAGTGCAGCTCTGGACTCGAGACCCCTCATCTCTCTCCACTATGCCCTCGGGGCTAGGCTCCTCTCATCCACAGTCACCCGCAGGGGCCCAGCTCCTGTTGTGTGTTCCCAGGGCCAGGGGAGCCCAGTAAAATCTTTGGCACCAGGAGGAGAAAAGCATGTGTCCCCAAGAGCCGAGGTGGGGCGGCCTCGGTGAGCCCTAAACAGAGGCTCAGGTGGGGGAGGGGGAGGGGCGTCCCTGCACACCCCCGCATGGGGGGCTGAATCATCCTTGGAGCCGCTGTGGGGAGCAAAGGTTTCTGGGGTGAAGGTGCAGCCGGCGCAGCCTCCCCGGCAAACCGGCAGGGGTCTGTGGCCCTGTGGCTACCAGCACCAGGTGACCATCTCCGTGGTAGCCCAGATGTCCAAACCCTGGGCTCTAATCAAACTCATCCCGGCCCCATGTTTCTGGGGCAAAGGTCACCATGAAGAGCATCCCCAGGCACCGAGTTCTGAGGAGTGCAGGCTCTTCGGAGCTGCCTGGCCCCCAGGGAGGCCCTGAGGGGCTGGAGCCTTAGGCCCTCAGGGAGCGGCCTCCAGGAGGCTCACTGTCACTGGGGCGCGGCTGCCTTGCCCACTGGGCTCCACGAAACGAGGGCACCAGGTGCTCAGACTGAGCACAAGCACCTAGGCTGGCAATGCTCCCTGCCCCACCTTATGAGGGCGGAGTTGGGGGTAGGCCAGGCGCCAGCCGAGGCCAGCAGCCTTAGGACGAACGGGGCCAGGAAGACAGGGTGGGACCTGCGCCCAGAGAGAGGGTCCGGGCTTGACCCTGTGGCCCTCCATGTGGGGCGTAACCCTGGCTCCCAAGGGGCCGCTCAGCCATGCCCCGAGGATCTCGGCTGCAAGAGGGGAGCACTGGGATTCCACACCCCAAGGGCCCTTGCTGGACCCTGCACTGGTGAGGGGTGGGCCACCAGGATCCTAGCCTCTGGGGCTGGCAGGGAGCAGATGATGGGCCCGAGGGTAGAGGGAGACGAGACACAGGCCCTCCCCTTTCAGACACTTGCTGGGCACCAGTCCCCCAGGTGTCCCCCTACCCTGCCAGAGACAGTGGGACCATGTTTGGGGTCTTGAGCTGGCTGGAGGCCCAGGGCTGACCCAACCTCCTGAACCCAGGACCCAGGGTCTGAACTGGTGGTGCTGCACCCTGATCACCAGGCAGTGGCCAGTGCCCGGCCCAAGACACAGGGAGGCCAAGGGTGGAGGAAGCCCAGTCTTGTCCAGAGACACAGCCTCCTTGGAGTCCAGCCCTGTTCTACCTGCCTCAGCCCATGAAGTGGGGTGGCGTCCTGGGGTCTGGTTACAACCATGTCGGCATGGGTGGCTGGGTCTGCACCCCTGGGGGTGGAGCCAGCATGGGGAGCTTTTCTCTGATGGTCTGGCATCCTGAAATAGAGACCTTGTTAACCAGGTCCCAGCTAGGCCGCTCACCTGCTGTGTGGCCTAGGCAGGCCTTCACCTCTGGGAGCCTCAGATGCTTCCTTTGTCAAAGAGCCATGACACTGGCTGTCAGAAAGCTGGCTCTAGAGCCTCTGGCATCTACTGGGGACTGGCTCAGTAAGCTCCCCCAAACTGCCACTGTTCATCCATCACTTGTGGCCAGTCAGGCCCTAGGTTCGACACTTTATGATCAGTGCATCCCTGGGGCACAAGCCAAGCCTGCCCAGCCTCAGCCACCGCTCTTTTCCTAAGACTGACTCACCTGCCTTGCCCTCCTCGGGGAGGGACCCCTGCTCCAGAAGCACACCGGAGGGCCCTGCACGTCTGAGCCTTTGCAGAGCTGGCTGGCCTGTGACCCTTCTCCTCGAGGTCTCAGCGTACACATCAGCCCCTCCTGGAGTGACCTCCCCCATCGCAATCGCTCTGCTGTCCCGGCCACTACTGTCTGCACCTTGTTTCCTGCACAAGTATGCTCACTTGCTTCTAGGGTCTCTCCACCAGGAGGGCGGCTGCCTCTCCAGGGCACACCACGGCCTGGCAGAGTGGGTGCTGGTCCAGGGGTGGGCGTGCAGCGCGCTCTTTCCTAAGGCCTGCCCCCTGCCCAGGGCCTCTGGGCCTAAGAGTAAGCCCCCAAGTAACCCTGCGAACCCCGTTCCCATCACTCAGCCTGGCCCCGGCGAACCCGGGAAGGGCCAATGCCCCAGGGCAGCTCCATCTCTCTCCGGCAGGGCCTTTTCGGGTCGCCAAGCGAGAGGCCCGGGAAGCAGGCTGACTTCAAACCTGGCTACCTTCCACAGTGCGGGGCTGCGGTCTCGGCCGGGCCCAGGCAAAGGGTGGGAATCAGGTATAAATCAAGCTCCGTGCTGGCAGCTCAGCTCCCCTCCTGTCCTCGCGGCCCCTCGTGGGGGCCGGACGTGTGGGCCCCGGCGGTCCCCGTGGCGCCTGTAGTCTTCCTCGCCTGCGCGCCCTTGGGGAAGGCCGTGCACACGGCTCTCTTGGCCGGGAGTGGGAGTTTCTGCCTGTGTGTGGTTAGGGTTGTGACAGTGATTAAACCTCCAGCAACTTGGCCCCAATGTCTGGCCCGGATGGTGGTTACAACACCCATGGCCAGGGCAGGGGCCCCTGAAGTAAGTGGAGGTTACTGTCCTCGGGCAAGGCTGCAGGGGTGGGCACAGGCCAGAGGGTCTCCCTGCCCGCCTAAGGCCCCAACGTCCCGGCTCCTCGGTCCCTGCAGCCCTTGGGCACCTCCGAGCCCTACAGGCCTGGCCAGGAGAATCGGGGGTCCCCCGAGCCTGCTCACACTGGGGACACCGCACCGAGATCATGCTGCAGAGACCATGTCATCTGCCCTGCCCGCCCTCCCACCGCCAGCAAGCACCGAATCTCATCCTCTCTTCCGAAACCTCTCCTGACCCCGGCGCCTCCATGGGCCCCCATCTCTCCTGGACCCTTGCCTGGCTCCTCCAGACTCCTCACCCCGCTGCCTCCTGTAAACGGCCGGGACACCAGGCCATCTCTATGGAGCATGGGTCAGACCAGGCCAGTCCCTGCCCCAAGGACAGAGCCCCAAGCTCCTTGGACTGGCTTCCCTCTCCAGCTTCATCCCCACCCATTCCTGAGGTGCCCCTGTGCCTTCCACCTGCCACTCCCTCCGCTGGGACACCTCACCTTCCCAGTCTCACTGCCCGGCCTCCTGTGGGCCTCTGTGTTGAGGCTTTCTCCAGGAAGCCCTCCCTGATTGCCTCTTCCTTTGCTGCCCGAGCTGAGCAGGGCTCGGTCTCTGAACCCCGAGAAGGCGGGGCCCTCTGCCCTGCTCCAAGTCTGACAACCACGTGGCCGGACCGGGAGCCCCCGCCTCCCTGTGGCTCTCTTGCAGCCTGTGCTGTGACTTGATGGGCCCAGAATTCACGTGTGCCCCCAACCCCACTCCTCTGTGCACTCGGGCCCAGGGTAGCAAGGCGGCATCTGCGTTTGCACTGCACCACCTGCCTCTTGGCTCAGAGGGACCCGAGTCCTGGGGCCCAGGCCCCACTACGTATCCCGAGCAGCCTCAAGTCACCGACTGGCCTTTGTGCTCACCTGGCCCCCTCGGACCACACCTTCCCCTGATGGGCCGGGAGCCTGCTGGGCCTGCTGCCGGGGCGGGCTCCTGGGAGCCTCAGCAGCATCCATCACGGCCTTGAGGCCTCCTGCCCAGAGCGTGACAGGCCTGGGGGCTCCGAGGCCCGGAGCCGAGCAGGGAAGGCAGTGGAGGGCCCCTTGAGCTACATCCTCACAGCCCATCCAGACAAAGAGCTCACTTCATCCGAAGACAATGGCCCTCAGGGGATGACCGCGCGCCAGGCCCTGGGGGTGCAGGAGGGAAGGCTCAGGGCCGGGGTCCCAGGGCAGGCCCCGAGGGCTGCAGGGAAGTGTCTGCCAGGCCATGCTGGCGCGGGGCGGAGGGCTTCCAGCCCACCCCGCCACATAGCCCTGCCTGCTGCCAGGACCTCGGGGGACCCACTCACCCTGCAGAAGGGCAGGGGCAGCACGCGCCTGGGCAGCAGGCGCCACGATGCTGAGTTAAGCATGACCACCCCACGCGGTCCCCATGTGGTCCCCCACACCCCAAACCCTGGCAGAGAGGCCAGGGAGGGCGGGAACTCCCCCACTGCCCTTTGGCCAGCAGAGGGGCCTCTCTCAGGCCAGAGGGGGGACACAGGGCCTTCACCAAGCACAGTCCTGGCTCTGCTGGTTTCTGCCCTAAGGTGTCCCCAGTCTGCATGGCATGCTGTCCCACTGCCTCTGCCTGCTGGGCCTCTGTGCCCAGCACCATCTCTAAGGCTAGGCCTCCAGGGGAGTCCAGACACTGCAGCCCCTGCCCCCACCAGGGAGGGAGGCAAAGCTGGCAAAGGGACCCTGACCAGAGCCTGCAGAAAGAACAACCCTGCCCCGACCGGTGGCCAGCTCGGACACCGGCTCTGGTCCCTGCCCTGCCCACAGCACCTCCTCCTCTCGTGGGGGCCGGGTGTCCTACCGGCAAGCCCATAGGAGCCCGTGGAGACAGGTGGTCAGCCCAGGATGGGCGCCTGCCCTGACGCAGAAGCCTTGGAGAGATTTGCTTGCATGGGCCAGAAGCCGGCACGTGGCCGCTGCACCCACCCCCCACCCCGCCGCGGGGCCAGTGAGGGTGGCGTTTCCCCCAGGTGCCGCCACTGCCTGGCCAGCCCTGCTGCTCTCCCGCAGCCTCTGAGCGAGCTCAGCCCTCCTTCCCAGGCTGCCTCTGCGTGGCAGGGAGGGACACTCCCCCCCGGCCCCAGGCCTGCTTCGCTCAGGATCCCTGTACCCCGGGATCCCTGTGTGCTCCAAGCACCGGCCCTTGCTCCTCCTCTGGGCATCTCGCTGTGACCCCGGCTGTCTCTATTCACTCGTCCCTGGAAGGCGCAGGAAGCAGTCACACAGTCTCTGCGGGTGTTTGTCTTGGCTCAGGAGCCAAGCCCACAAACCAGGGGCATTTCCGCTAGGACCGGGGGCTGACCTGGCCACGGCCTTTGTGCTGCTATGGGGGGTATGGCTACCCCCTCTGAGGGCAGCGCTGTGAGCACAGGACCCCTGGCCCGCCAGGCCTGCCTGGCATGCGACCCCCAGGAACAGCGTGGCACAGCCTTGAAGAATGGGGCGGGGGGCACGCTGGGGGCTCTGCTCCCTTCCCCCCTACACGGGAACCTTGAGGCCCCAATGCAGGCCAGGCCTGTGCCCCGCCGTGTGCTGGGGGAGGCCTGCCTCACAGCCCCCAGGGACCACCTCGGCTGAGTCTGGCCTGGCGGGGCCTGAAACCTTGTAACCGCCCCCAAAGTGACATGGCCAGGCAGTCCCATAGGACCTTGGTGCTGGGACCCTTTTCAGTTCAATGTGTGGCCCCCGGGACTTGCCTGCTTTGCTGATCGACTGAGCCGGCCAGGACACCAGCTGGGGACGTGCCACCCAGAGCCTGCCCAGGACCACCCTCTGTACCACGGCCTGGAGCCAGGCTCGGGTCCACACAGGTCCCTCTGTGCTCCTGGAGGGACCTGCCATGGGCTGTGGGTGCACCAGGGTCTTGGGGCCATGCACCTCCATGCACTCCCACTGGCACAAACCTTTTGCTGCAAGTGAAACACTTATCACTTAAACAACCGATGTTCAAAGCTGAACAGAACCTTCCACTCCTTTTCTCCCTGGGGTAATGCAAGGATATCAGGAGGAGGAGATGGTGCCCCTTACTCGGGGTGACGGCTCCACACAGGCGGAGTTTTACAGGTAACAGGTGCCTTGTACCGGGGTTCAAAGGTCAGAAAGTATAAAAGGCTCCCGGTGAGCACCCTCCCTCCTCGGCGCGCCCCACCCGGTCTGTCGGTCTGTCTGGCTGGCTCCCTTCCTGCCCCTCCCACTGTGGATTTACAAGCACTTGTGAATCCATGTTCTCACCGCCCTCGTCCTCTTCTTTATCACCTTTTGTGAATTCACCCCCTCCTGCGCTGCTCTGTCTTTATGCAACAGTCCGCCCTGGAAGCGTCCACACTAGCCCCTACCTAGAGAGAACTGCTTTGTAAACACAGTTAGCGCAAGATGCTGTTCTCTTCTGCAACCGCCACACCAGGCCAGCCCCGTTGATGCCGTCAGCTGCCCCGAGCTGAGCTCTCAGGTCTCCTTCCTTGTCTCCTTTTTCGGGTGTATCTGAGTTCCTCATCTTTGGACTCATCTGATCACCAGGCTTTGATCCCGCTGGACAAGTGAGAGTGTGGGCCCGTCACCCCTCCCCGGCTCCCTGGCCTCTGGTGGCCCCGGCACTGGATGGGGGCGTCCGGAAAGCCCTGCTCACAGTTTGCCTCCTCGGAAGGCGGCAGTCGCTGGCGAACCCTCACAAGCAGCACTTGGCTGGCAACGGCTGGACACGGGGTGGCATGGGCTCCAGGCGGAGCCATCAGATTCTGGGCCCTCAAGGGGCCACACTCTGGGGCCTTTACAGTGTAGGGGCTCAGGATCCTTTCTTCTTTTTCCCTTTGTAAATTTCCTACATACGAATGAGTTCAGTTCTGACACCGTGGTCGTTAAGTCCGACCAAGTTAGCCTAGGTAACTGACTTTTCTAGACAATGCCAGACACGTGAACTAATTTAAGTGACTGGACAGGCGCACGCACATTCGCATCTTTGAGAGCTCGCGACTTGAAGGTTCATGTGTTGGAGACTGACTATAAAAGTTCCGTGGAGAAATACAAGTCTGACTGCCACAGTCCCCCTGATTCCAGTATGAACTCAGAGTCCAGCCTTCAAGGCCTGTCAGGCCAGGTCCTCAGATGGCCCCCCAGCCTCTGCTCATCACTCGCCACACACCGGAGAGACACTCAGCTCCTGCCCAGCCAGAGGCGAGTGTCCACACTGCCAAGCCCTCGCTGCAGCAGCCGCTGCTGTGGGGCAGGGCAGAGGACATGCTGACATCCCAGCGGCCAGTGTGGACAGGGAGACGCGCAGAAGAGCAGGTGGGAGGGGATGGGGGGTGGCCTCGGGCTGAGCTCCCTGAACCCCCCCAGCCCTGTCTCTGCTTGGTGGTCAGCCCCCTTTCCCAGGAGTGATGCTGGGGACCCGCTAGCATCTGGGGCCTTACTAGCTGAGCATGAGAGGGGGGGACGGAGTCAGGTCGCTGCAGAGTGCCGGACCTGCTTCTCAGAGGCGCCCCGCCCCTGGCCACCAGCATCCACATGCCATATGGTCCTCCCCCCAGGCCCCGCCCCTGCCCTCACCTGGCTTCATGGCGCTCATGACGGCCCGGCAGCTCCGCAGCACCGCCTCATAGATGGCCTTCTGGTCTGGGGTGAACTTGCCGTTGGCGGGGAAGGAGCACGTGATGTCAGAAGCGAAGCAGTAATATTCACCGCCCATGTCGAACACGCTGCCGGGAGAGTGGGGTTTGAGGCCAGTGGGACACTCGGGGGCACCTGTACCCATCCCAGCCACGCTTCCCTCCTGCTGGGCACTCAGGGCCACCAAACCAGAGACTTCTTGCAACACGGCCTGTGCAGACAGCAGCGTGGGGCCCTCCTGCCCCACTGTCTCCTGACGGCGCACGGGCAGTAAAGCACCCAGGGGCGCCCCGGGAGGCTCCCGCTCCAGAGCAGGAAGGTTGGGGGGAATGTGGCTGCCCACACACCACACCCTCACGGCTTCTGCTGGCCAGGGCCCTGGACGCCTGGCTGTGGGGATTCCCTGAGGGAGGGGTGGAGGTATCCCCAGGCGTCCACCTGGCCTCCACAGAGGCACTCTGACAGCGCTGCCCCCACCCCCACCAAGGGCCACCCTGCACCCAGCATGGGCACAGCTGCAGCCCACAGGGCAGTGCTCATGGGAGCCGGATGGGGCCTCGAGACAGATGCACCCGCCAGACAGAAGACGTGGGCTGAGGCGCGGCGCCCGCCTCTCACAGGCCCCAGGGCCCCGGTGAATACCCCGACTTGGGGGCTGCCTGCATCCCCGGGCCACAGAGCAGGGACCAGGAGGCACAGAGGCGGGTGTGGAGAGTTGTGGGAGGAAGGCAGAAGCGGGAGCTGGGAGCCCCTGCCGGCGGAGGCAGGGCAGCGCTGGGACAGACAGCAGGCTGCTGAGTCAGGGGGCCGGGCCGCCGGGCCTGCCCTCTGGACACTCGTGACAGGGCCCCGAGCCGCGGGGCTGGGCCGGAGTGCGGGAAGCCAGGCTCCGACACCCTCGCCACCTGGCCCTACTGTCAAGGGCAGGTGAGAATCCCTCCTCACGCGCCCTCCACGTGGGGATAAGACAAAAACGAGGGAGGGGCTGCTGGGTCCAAGTTTGGCTCCCACCAGGTTACCCACAGAGAGGAGTGGGGTGCCCAGAATGAGCAGCCTCCCTGTCCTGTCCCCTCACCAGCAGGATGCTGGACAGCGGGCCCAGAGCTGGACCATCATGGGGTCAGGGTCAAGTCATGATGCTGATGGTGACAAGACAGTCTGGGGTCATCAGTTCAGCCTCAGGCCCAGGCCCCTGCGGCACCTTCGGGACTAGGGGCCCCGGAGAGGGTAGGGGCGGAGGTGGATGCCACTGCCCTCTCTGGGTCTGGCTCTGCCCCGTGAGGGGCAGTCTGCAGCTACTGTTGGAAAATTGGAGCCCCGAGGCAGAGCCACACCTGCCATGAAAAGAGCCTCTCAAACCCCAATTCTGGGCCTCCCTGAGAGCTCAGTGGTGAAGAGTCTGCCTGCCAACGCAGGAAACACGGCTTCGACCCCTGGTCTGGGAAGATCCCACATGCCTCGGAGCAGCTAAGCCCATGCGCCACAACTGAGTCTGTGCTCTAGAATCCAGGAGTCACAATTACTTAAGTCTGTGTGCCCTAGAGCCCATGCTCTAAAACAAGAGAAGCCACCGCAAGAAGTCCTTGTACAGCAACTAGAGAGTAGTCCCCGCTTGCCACAACGAGAGAAAAGCCCTCAAAGCAAGGAAGACCCCGCGCAGCCAAAAATAAATAAAATTATTTTTTTAAAACCCCCACATTTCAGTGGTAAACACGATGGCTCAGCCTGCATTCCAAGAGCTGCCTGCATGCCTGTCTCCGGAGACCTCCACCCTGAGCAACTGGCCCTACAGGTGGAGCCAGGGGTCGGCCATGCGGCTCCATAGAAACAGGGACTCCATAGAAACAGAATTGTTTCTAAAGGAAAGTCGTGAATACTCGGGATCTCAAGACACTCCGCTGGAAATCAAAGTCCCCAGTCGGGCACTTTTTAATCTCCGGTCTTTTTCTGACTGCAAAACATCATAAACTGTCAACAGTTCAAGAAGCACCGGATAACAACTCAGGTGATTCTCAGGTGGTGGTGGGGAGAGCTCGCCCGAACGGCAGAGGAACTTCGGGTTGGGTCAAGGTCAGAGACTCTGGGGGACCCACCCTGGGGTGGGCCAATGTGTGTGTGTCTGCGGGGGGACTTGGGGCTCACTAGACGGGACCCGCTCAGCCCGGGTGTGGGAGCCAAGGATCCAAGGGCAAGAGGCCCCAGCAGACACACCCAGCATCTGCTCCCCAGGACACTCTGATGCACCAGGGGTTGGGGCTGACAGCTGTCTGCAGGTTTACTAGTGCCCCGGGACACATTCCCCCTCCCGCCAGCTGGCCAGGAGGGCGGAGCACATCAGAACCCTAAACTACAGGGAAACCGAGGCTCTGCACACTGGCCTGGCAACGTCTCAAGTCGGGGCCAGCAGCTCAGAGCCCAGGGACAGGCTCTCCCGTCCTCGCTCCGGCACTCAGCCTCGAGCGCCTGAGGGCGGCCCCTCATTTACCATGTGGCTGCCGCCACTGAGGCGGCTTTGCGTCCTCCGCGGCCAGCGTGCAGGCAGGCCTGGGAGTGGAACCGCGTGGGGCTGTGGCCCAGCTTCACCCAGGGAGCAGAGCATTCTTACTTGGGGCCCTTGGAGGCAACAAAGGAAGATGGTCTGTGGTTTGTTGATTCAGAAGGACCAGGAATGGCCTGAGCAGACAGGACAGAGCCAGGGGCGTGGGGACACAGACCCCTGGGGGCCACCACATCAGAAAGAGACCTGCAGCAGCATCCCCCCAGGCAGAAAGTTCTATGAGGCTGCGCAGGGCTCAAAGGAAAACAGAAACTAAACTATTTAAAAAGCCAGGGAGCCCACAAGAGCACACCAAATGCTGGAGTCATCCGGAGCAGTGAAAACAGGCCCCTTCCCCGGGGCAGGCACGACTCCTGACCAAGTTCTCAAAAACAAAAACACGGGAGGCGGGGGTGAGCTCCCCGGCCAGTCTGGCTTTATTGTTCAGCTTCTAGAAACCTTCGGCTGTATTTTTTTTTGTTTTAAAATCATCCACTTTAGGGAGAAGGAAGTGTACACCCAGCCGGCCAGCTCCATCCTGCCCAGCGATGCTCGGGCACGGGGCTGACGTCTATTTTTGTGCTCTCAGTTCCCTATCTCTCTGCCTTTTTTTTTTTTTTTATCTCCCTCAGAGAGTTCCTACATGTATTAGTTATTCAGATTTCAAGTCGTTCTGGAATCCAGGGATGAAAGCCATCGCTTTTATAAATCATTTCCCCCAGTTCCTCTGTGTCCACTCCGTCCGTCCTCTGAACGCAGGCTGATGACGGAGAATTCGCTCATACTTTGGCTCAACAGAGAACACGAGGAGCGCTCCTCCCAGCTGCCTGGGGACACCCACCAGGGACCCTACCATCTCTGGCCGAGTGAACGCGTTGTGATAATCTAAGCCATCTGGGGAGGTATTACACATCTCCAAGCAATATGCTGGTGGCTCATTCCTCACATGTGTTCATCTGGTTCTATTTCTGGCTTGGAGGACAGGTTCTGTCTTCCGTTGGCTCCTCCCGGGCAACTTCAGACCCAAGCTACCTGCCACCATCGGCCCACCCAGGCCCCCCACAGATCCCCTCTGTCCCCTCCGCCCCACTGCAGGCAGAAGGCCTATGAGATGGTTCGGTCTCTGATATGAGGCCTGGGAAGAGTTTTGGGGGGAACTCTGTGATCTTTACGGCAAGGTCACTATGTACACAGGCTGCAGCTCTGGTTTACTCTCCAGGGCTGTGGCCTCGCTCTCAGCTATCTCTCACCCCAGACAGGCACGGTACACACGTGCCCACGCGTGTGCACTCACTCATAGATCTATTCACCACAGCGCACCATTTCAGACCCTGACTTGCACCCACCCCAGTCGGCGTTCTGGACCAGGCTGGGGGATTTCTGAGCTGCAGGAATCTCCTGCTTCCCCTCCAGACCTCAGCCTGAGACAGAGAGGAAGGCGAACTGGTGACTTTCCCACTGGTGGTGGCCACACAAGGCCCACGGGTCACTCGCCAGCTCCCAGCCAGACCTTCTGTGTGGTGCCGAGCCCTGGGACAAAGGCCTATGCTCAAAGCCTGGGGCTGACTCCCCAAGCCGACCTCTCCCCACTGCCTTCTAGGCGTCCCTGCTCCCCATCCCAGCCATGGGATGGCTGCTGCTATGGGGGCCGGGCAGACAGGAAAGACATCCAGGCAACCAGCCCCAGGAGCCCCGAGCCACGGGTCGGCACGTGCTGCGGGCCTCCCACGTGTCTGGATGGAACTGCTGTTACCTTTCTGCGGAGGACGTGGGGAGAGGCAGAGCCCCAGCGTGGGCCACGACGCCAGGATGTCCCGTGGTCCCTAGCCCCATGTGTGGGCGGGCCGCGGCGGCCGCCCAGCCCCGGGGCTTCCTGCCGCCACGGGCAGCGGCCTCCCCAGGGTCGGGGGAGGTGGTGAGTCGGCGTCACGCGCACAGCACATGGTTCGTTCCACTTTTCGGTAAGCACTGTCCCATGGTGTCTGCAAGCACCCCGGCTGACTGGGTGCTTTCACACTGTGGATTGTGGCGTCAACCATGTGGGATGCAGGGGCAGCAGCATAAACAGGCAACACAGGGCGGACCCCACGGTGAGGGCACTTGGTTATTGTCCAGGCATATCTGCTTGCGCGGTACTGCCTTACAATGCAAAGGCTGCTTCAACCCAGACAGCAGGTTGAAGGCCACGGCCACTGGTCTGGACAGATAGCTGACCAGGGCCTGTGCCTTCCTGAGTGTGTTCTCTTGCCTCCAGGACTGGGGCATGTCCTGAAGACCATCAACTCCTCAGGATGGGGCCGGCTGGTGATTGCATGGCCCACCAGGCTCCTCTGTCCATGGGAGTCTCCAGGCAAGAATACTGGAGTGGGTTGCCATTTCCTTCTCCAGAGATGTCCTCTAAGGAGACAGCAAAGTTGGGGGAGTGGTGTCCTGGGCTGGGCTTGGAGGAAACACTTGTTCTCTAAAGCTGACCAAGCCTTCAGGCAGCAAGACAAGGGGGGACTTGGGGACCCCTCATTGGGGCCCCTCTGCCAGCTGGGGAGGAGACCCAGG